GATGAGTGTTTCCCTCCCTCCACATCCTCTCCAGCATAAGCTATCATTGGTGTTTTTGAGTTTAGCTATTCTGACAGTTGTAAGATGGTATCTCAAAGTGGTTTTTGGTTTGCTTTTCCCTGATCGATAAGGAGGTTGAGCATGTCCTTAAGTGTCTTCTGCTCATTTGAAGTTCATCTGTTGTGAATTCTCTATTCAGTTCAGTACCCCATTTCTTAATTGGGTTAATTAGAGTTTTAATGTCTAGTTTCTTGAGTTCTTTGTATATTTTGGAGATCAGACCTTTGTCTGATGAGGTGTAGATCTTCTTCCAGTCCGAAGATAGCCTTTTTGTCTTACTGACAGTGTCCTTTGCTTTACAGAAGCTTCTCAGTTTCAGTAGGTCCCATTTATTCATTGTTTCTCTTATTGTCTGTGCTACTGGGGTTCTACTTAGGAAGCGGCCTCCTCTGCCTATATCTTGTAGACTACTTCCCACTTTCTCTTCTATCAGGTTCAAAGTGGACATATTAATGTTGATGTCTTTAATCCATTTGGACTTGAGTTTTGTGCATGGTGATAGATAGGGATCTACATTCATTCTCTTACAGATTGACATCCAGTTATGCCAGCACCATTTGTTAAAGATGCTTTCCTTCCTCCATTGTATACCTTTAGCTCCCTTGTCGAAAATCAGGTGTTCATAGGTTTGTGGGTTAATATCCGGGTCTTCTATTCGATTCCATAGGTCGACTTCTCGGTTCTTATGCCAAAACCAAGCTGTTTTCAATACTGTAGCTCTGTAATAGAGTTTGAAGTCAGGGATGGTAATGCCTCCAGAAGTTCCTTTATTGTATAAGATTGTTTTGGCTATCCTGGGTTTTTTGTTTTGCCATATAAAATTGATTATTGTTCTCTCAAGGTCTGTGAAGAAGTTTGATGGGATTTTGATGGGGATTGCATTGAATCTATAGATTGCTTTTGGTAGAATTGCCATTTTTACTATATTGATTCTCCCAATCCAAGAGCAGGGGAGATCTTTCCATGTTCTGGTATCCTCCTCAATTTCTTTCTTCAAAGACTTAAAGTTCTTGTAAAATAGGTCTTTCACTTCCTTGGTTAGAGTAACTCCAAGATATTTTATGTTATTTGTGGCTATCGTGAAAGGTGATGTTTCTCTGATTTCCCTCTCTACTTCTTTATCCTTTGTGTTTAGGAGGGCAACTGATTTTTTGGAGTTGATCTTGTATCCTGCCACATTACTAAAGGTGTTTATCAGTTGTAGGAGTTCTTTGGTAGAGTTTTTGGGGTCGCTTATGTACACTATCATATCGTCAGCAAATAACGAAAGTTTAACTTCATCCTTTCCAATTCGAATCCCCTTAATCTCCTTATGTTGTCTTATTGCTATTGCTAGAATTTCAAGCACTATATTGAAGAGGTATGGAGAGAGTGGACAGCCTTGTCATGTTCCTGATTTTAGTGGAAAGGCTTTAGGTTTCTCTCCATTCAATTTGATGGTAGCTGTCGGCTTGCTGTATAATGCTTTTATTATATTTAGGTATGATCCTTGTATCCCCAGTCTCTCCAACACCTTTATCATAAATGGGTGTTGAATTTTGTCAAATGCTTTTTCAGCATTCAATGAAATGATCATATGATTTTTTTCTTTCAGTTTATTTATATGATGGATTACAATGATAGATTTGCGTATGTTGAACCAGCCCTGCATCTCTGGGATGAAGCCTACTTGATCATAATGGATAATTTTTCTAATGTGTTCTTGGATTCGGTTTGCCAGTATTTTATTGAGAATTGTCGTGTCGATGTTCATGAGTGAGATTGGCCTGTAATTCTCTTTCTTGGTTGTGTCTTTGTGTGGTTTTGGTATCAGGGTAACTGTAGCTTCATAAAAGGAGTTTGGCAATGACTCTTCTGTTTCTATATTGTGGAATACATTAAGGAGTAATTAGCTCTTGCTGGAAGTTCTGGTAGAATTCTGCATTGAAACTATCTGGTCCTGGGATTTTTTTGGTAGGGAGATTTTTGATAACAGCTTCTAAATCTTCACGACTAACAGATCTATTTAGATTGTTCACCTATTCTTGGTTCAACTTTGGTATATGGTACTTATCTAAAAAATTGTCCATTTCTTTTACATTTTCCAACTTTGTGGCATATAAACTTTCATAGTAAGATCTAATGATTCTCTGAATTTCCTCTGTGTCTGTGGTTATGTCCCCCTTTTCATTTCTGATCTTATTAATTTGCATGTTCTCTCTCTGCCGATTGATTAGTTTGGATAGTGTTTGTCAATTTTGTTGATTTTCTCCAAGAACCAGCTTTTTGTTTCATTGAGTCTTTGGATTGTTTTCTGTGTTTCTATTTTGTTGATTTCAGTCCTCAGTTTGATTATTTCCAGTCTTCTACTCCTCCTGGGTGAATCAGCTTCTTTTTTTTCTAGAGCTTTCAAATATGCTGTTAAGTCTCCAATGTGTACTTTCTCCGTTTTCTTTGAGCACTTAGTGCTATGAACTTTCCTCTTAGCACTGCTTTCATAGTGTCCCATAGGTTTGAGTATGTTGTGTCTTTGTTTTCATTAAATTCAAGGAAGACTTTAATTTCTTTCTTTATTTCTTTTTTGACCCTGGGGTGATTTAGTAGTTGACTGTTCAACTTTCATGAGTTTGTTGGCTTCCTGGGGGTAGCACTGTTGTTGAATTCTTACTTTAATCCATGGTGATCTGGCAATACACAGGTGGTTACTAATATTTTTTTGTATCTGTAGAAGTTTGCTTTGTTATCGAGCATGTGGTCAATTTTCGAGAAGGTTCCATGAGCTGCAGAGAAGAAGGTATATTCTTTCCTATTTGGGTGGATTGTTCTACAGATGTCTGTTAAGTCCATTTGATTCAGTACCTCCAATAATTCTCCTATTTCTCTATTAGGTTTCTGTCTGATTGATCTGTCCATTGGTGAGAGAGGTGTGTTGAAGTCTCCTACTATTAGTGTGTGTGGTTTAATGACTGCCTTGAGTTCTAGAAGAGTTTCTTTTACATATGTGGGTGCCTTTATATTAGGGGCATAGAAATTCAGGATTGAGACTTCTTCCTGATGAATTGTTCCTGTTATGAGTATGAAATGTCCATCTCCATTTCTTCTGATTGATTTTAGTTTGAAGTCAATTTTGTTAGATATTAGAATGGCCACACCCACTTGTTTCTTAGGTCCATTTGCTTGGAAAAACCTTTTCCCAACCCTTTATTCTGAGTAGGTGTCTGTCTTTGTGGTTGAGGTGTGTTTCTTGTAAACAGCAGAATGTTGGATCCTGTTTTCGTATCCAATCTCTAAGTCTGTGCCTCTTTATAGGTGAATTGAGTCCATTGATATTAAGTGATATTAATGACCAGTGGTTGTTGACTCCGAACATTTTTTTTGGGTAGTAGAGTGTATGTGTTTTCCTTCTTTGAGTTGTGCTTGTGAAGGGTCGCTAAGTGTCTAAGTTATTGTAGGCAGTGTTGGGAATGTTGGATTCCTTGGGTTGTGATTTTCCTTCTAATATTCTCTGTAAGGCTGCATTTGTAGCTACGTATTGTTTAAATTTGTTTTTATCCTGGAATATTTTGTTTTCTCTGTTGATAGTGAACAATAGCTTGGCTGGGTATAGTAGTCTGGGCTTGCATCCATGGTCTCTTAGTTTCTGCAGTACCTCTATCCAGGACCTTCTGACTTTCATGTTTTCCATAGAGAAGTCTGGTGTAAGTCTCATAGGTTTACCTTTATAAGTTACTTGATCCTTTTCCTCTTCAGCTCTTAATATCCTTTCTTTAATCTGAATGCTTTGTGTTTTGATTATTATATGGCGAGGGGATGTTTTTTTTTCTGATCCAATCTATTCGGTGTTCTGTATGCTTCTTGAACTTTCATAGGAATATCATTCTTTAGGTTGGGAAAGTTTTCTTCTATAATTTTGTTGAATATATTTTCTGGACCTTTGATCTGCAATTCTTCTCCTTCTTCAACTCCCATTATTCTTAGATTTGGTTTTTTTATTATGTCCCAGATTTCCTGAATGTTTTGTGATGAGAATTTGTTAGATTTGCTGTTTTCTTTGATCAGAGCGTTTATTTTCTCTATGGTGTCTTCATAATCTGAGATTCATTCTTCTATCTCTTGTATCCTATTGGTTATGCTTGTTCCTGAAGTCTCTGTTTACCTAGATTTTCCGTATCCAGCCGGCCCTCGGTTTGTGTTTTCTTCATTGCCTCCATTTCAGTTTTCAATTCTTGAACTGATTTCATTACCTGTTTGATTGTTTTTTCTTGGTTTTCCAGGGTATCTTTTACGAATTTACTCATTTCTTCAAACTTTTCGTTATATTTCTCTTCCATTTCTTTTCTCATTTCTTCAATCTTTTTGTTATATTTCTCTTCTATTTCTTTAAGTGAGTTATTCATACCCTGTTTCAGAGACTCTATTGCTTTCATAATGACACTGTTTTCCACTTCTTCCCGAATAGGGTGTTCAAGTCCTTCTGTTGTAAGTTCGCTGGGATCTGGTGTTTTCATGTTGTTTTTCAGATTGTTGGAAGAATTCTTGCCTTGGCACCTGCCCATCTCTTCCTTCAGATGTTCTCCAATGGCTCTTCCCTCCGCTGGGTCTTCTGCTACCGGATTCGTGCCCCTTGCTATCCAGGAATCACTTTGCCTGCAGTCCTACCTTGCTGCAGGCAGGCTATTAAAGCAAAGGAACACCCTCCCATTTGCACTCACTGCCCCATCCCGGCGGCGCCCACACACGCTGAGTTGGAGGATTTTATGCCCCGAAAAAGGGAGAGAGGGAGGGTAGGGGTTCCTTACTGAAAGCCAGGATGAGGTAGGAGGCGAGAGGGTTTAGCTGGGGGAAGCCGCCCCTTCGGAATAGCCAGGGAGATACGGATGGCGGGAAAATTGTGTGTTCCCTTACTGGGCTTGTGTGGCGGTCAGGAACACACCCCTCCATTGTATCTTCTGCTACAGGATCAGTGCCACTTGCTGCTCAGAAATCTCCCTGCCTGCCTCCTCCAGGAAATCTCTTTTTCAAGGAAAATTTGATGGAAGAAAGCAATGGAAACATGATAAGTATGTTAGGAAGTATTTTTTAGATTATTTATTAATCTTCGTCATTGGGGAAATGAAGACTGTTTTATTCCAGTCAGAATGATTGAGAATAAGAAGATAAAGGTAGCAAATATCAGTGAGAAGATGCTTCGATTTTTTTTAAAAAAAAAACAAACTAGAAACATGTCTACAAATTGATTGAGCTATAACATTTATCAGCTATACTCAAATTCTCCCCTACAACATAGACACACATTGATTATAGCTAGGATTTGGAAACAACCTAGATGTTCATGAACTGGTGAATAGATAATGAAAATGTGGTACCTGTATACAACGGAATTTTGTTATCTGTAAAGAAAAATGAGCCCATTAATTTTTTAAGTAATTAGCTTTAACTGGAAAACAATCCACAGTTTCAGATAACACAGGCTCAGAAAGACAACACATATTTCCACTCACATGTGAAACACAGTACTGAACCCTTAGATATATGTGTCTAGTTTGGAGCACCTCTAGAATCTAGGAAACAATGTCAGGGGCGAGGAGGAGGAATATGGAGGACATTTTAACCCCATTAAGAGTAATAGAATGTAGGTGACATGAAGGGGAATTGAATAATAATGAGGAAGGTGTTTGAGAGAGAAAAAGAGATGGGAGAGTAGAGTTGAAAATGGAGCGCAGGGCAGAGTAAATAACATTAAGGCTGTTTGAGAAAGCCATATGGAAATTTATTATTTTATAAGTTTTCTATAGAGATACACACATATATATTTACATTATACATATATAAGTGTTTAATTGGAGTTATCAATCATCAGCAGGAAAAAATGCTCCTTTTAGAAGCCATAGGTTGCCAAATAAGAAATCCAGTGAGAAAAGAGTAAAAGAAGAAAATTTTTGGCAAATTGTCGCCTGACTCACAACATGCACTGTCTTGTGTACACAGAGGTTTAACAGTACCTTCACTGCCTGATAATGGAACTTCATGCATATGTCTATAACTTCCTGTAGTTGACTTTTTCTGAGAGTGCTAAGACTATTGCAGCATTCTAAAATCTACAACTAACTTTCTTTTTTTAATTTATTCATTTATTTATAAAAATTTACATTTCCTCCCCTCCTCCCAATACCCTCCCACTCCTCCCACTCTCTCTCCTCCACCCTCTCCAGTCCTAAGAGCAGTCAGGGTTTCCTGCTCTGTGGGAAGTTCAAGTTCCTCCCCCCTCCCTCCAGGTCTAGGAGGTTGAGCATTCAAACAGACTAGGATCCCAAAAAGCCAGTACATGCAGACGAAACAAGTCCCAGTGCCATTATCAATGGCTTCTCAGTCAGCCCCCATGTCAGCCAGATTCATAGAATCTGGTATGATCAAATGCTCGTTCAGTCCCAGTCCAGCTGGCCTTGGTGAGCTCTCCTTAGATCAGTACCCTTGTATCAGTGGGTGAACGCTCCCCTTGCGGTCCTGACTTCCTTGTTCATGTTCTCCCTCTTTCTGGTCCTCATTTGGATCTTGTGGGCTCAGTCCAGTGTTCCAATGTGGGTCTCTGTCTCTATCTCCATCCATCGCCAGATGAAGGTTCTATGGTGATATGCAAAATATTCATCAGTATTGTTATGGGCCAAGGCCAGGTCAGGTACCCTCTCCTCTGCTTCCCAGGGAAAAATCTGGGGACCTCTCCTTGGACCTGGGAACCTCTCTAGAATCAAGTCTCTTGCAAACCCTAAAGTGGCTCCCTTAGTTGAGATATATACTTCCCTGCTCCCATATCTATCCTTCCTCCCTCCCCACATTCCGTCCCCCCAAGCTATCCCCAATCTTCCCCTTCTCCCTTCTCTCTAACCATCTCCCCTTACTTCCCCCCCCAAGCACCCATGTTTGCCTGGCAATCTTGTCTACTTCCAATATCCAGGACGATAACTATATGATTTTCTTCAGGTTCACCTTCTTATTTAGTTTCTCTAGGATCAAGAATTATAGGCTCAAAGACCTTTAATTATGGCTAGAATCCACTTATGAGTGAATACATACCATATTCGTCTTTTTGGGTCTGGGTTACCTCACTCACTCAGTAAAGAGTTTTCTATTTCCATCCATTTGCATGAAAAATTCAAGATGTCCTTGATTTTTACCTCTGAGTAAAACTCTAATGTGTATATGTTCCACACCTTCTTTAACCATTTTTCTATTGAGGGGCACCTAGGTTGTTTCCACGTTCTGGCTATTACAAATAGTGCTGCTATGAACATAGTTGAACAAATGCTTTTGTAGTATGATAGGGCATCTCTTGGGTATATTCCCAAGAGTGGAATTGCTGGGTCCTGAGGGAGGTCGACTCTCAGTTTCCTGAGAAACCGCCACACTGATTTCCACAGTGGCTGCACAAGTTTGCATTCCCACCAACAATGGATGAGTGTTCCCCTCACTCCACATCCTCTCCAGCAAAGGCTATCATTAGTGTTTTTGATTTTAGCCATTCTGACAGGTGTAAGACGGTATCTCAAAGTTGTTTTGATTTGCATTTCCCTGATTGCTAAGGAGGTTGAGCATGACCTTAAGTGTCTTTTGGCCATTTGAAGTTCATCTGTTGTGAATTCTCTGTTCAGTTCAGTACCCCATTTTTTAATTGTGTTATTAGAGTTTTAGAGTCTAGTTTCTTGAGTTCTTTATATATTTTGGAGATCAGACCTTTGTCTGATGAGGGGTTGGTGAAGATCTCCCAGTCAGTCGGTAGCCTTTTTGTCTTACTGACATACAACTAACTTTCTTAACACTTCAGTTGTGCATTTCTTCTTTTAATGATAGAAATTTTAAAAACTTTCCCATCTCCTACAGAAAGTAATTGTGAGGATTAGATAGTGCAATTGGCAGAAGACTGGAAAATAGTAAAATGTTGGCCTACTGTAAATTATTGCATCTTAAAAAGATCTAATTTTATCAATTTCATTTATAACTCTACTAGCAAATTAATGGCTCTTGTAGCATGACTAAAAACAACCTAGAGACAGATATTGGGGTTCAGTTGGAAGGTCAGAAAAACAAAACAGTCAGCCACTGGTTCTTACCTCTACCTCAGTCTGAAATGGAAATCCTGCCTCCAGGAATCTCAGAATGAGACTGTGAGAGAACTGTCTCCTCCTGTCTTATATTCCTCTCTGGGGCTGGGTTTAATGGTATGCACCACTACCTCCTGGTTTCTAGGGCAAACTGGAGTGGTTACTGGGATTAAAGGCATGTGTCATCATTTCTTCATCTGTAAGACTTACCATTGGGACTATTTTACTTTCCGATATTCAAGCAAACTTTATTTATTAAAATAAAAGTGAAATATCACTTCAGGATCCAAAGTGTTTAACGCTAACTTCTGCTCTTTGCTATTAGCAGTTATTAGATAACAGGCACTGCGTGAGTTGAACAGAAAATATTCTCCACAGGCTCATATGTTTAAATATACACGTTGAACTCCCCATTAGTTGATGCTCTTTGGAAAGATTATATAACATGTAGAAAATGGAGCCTTGACATAGGACTATGTTATTGGAGGTAAGTTTGAAGATTTATAGCCCAACCTCACTTGCTGCTCATTTTTGGCTTTCTGTACAGATGGCATGTGATTACCCAGCATCCTGATTCTTCCACCAGGCCTTCCACACCTGTGTCCATATCTTCCCCTCCAGGATGGACTCCACACCTCTGGATCAGTAAATGCAAATAAACACTTCATCTCTTAACTTGATTTTTTTTCAGGATATTATATCACGGCAACATAAAAGAAACTAATACAGATATTGTATCAAGTACATTGCTCAATAAGTCGAAGTAAAAGAGGCATTATTAATTAATGCTCATGAAATTGTTTTTTTCTGTCTTTATCTTGGTTATCCTAAGAACAATTCTGTAGGAGGTCATACCCCAGAATTATTTTTGTAAAAAAAAAAAAAACAACTATGTAAGGATTGGACTTACTTTATTAGCCCCATTATGTAGACTCTAATATTTCTATTATATAAGTATCTCCTTAGTCACAATAGATCATAATCACAATGCTAGTTTTGTAGTTTGTAATATATACCATATGAAAAAACAGAACATGCCTAAATCAAAACTCTTCTCAAAGAGTGATTACTAGACTACTCTTGTGATATCATGCTTCAATATTATCCACATGGTTTAGAAAAAACTTTGGATATCCATTGAAATCAACAGGAGAGTCACCTAATCTCAGATATGCTGAGTTAGACTTCAGAGTTTGCCAATTATATTAAATCATAATTAGCTAAAATAACAGAGCTCTAGTGATCTGGCAAGATTCAGAGACCCAAAAAAGTTTAAATAATAAAAACTGAGATTAAACATGGCATGGTTCTCCAATTATAACAGTGAAGTACAAGTTACATGTTCAGCTCTCATTGCAGTGGAGATGTCAGCTGTTTTGCATGCTGACCTTAGTAAAGAAACTCTGGACTACATTTACTATGTTACGGTAAATCTATCTGATGAAGGAATTAGATTTAGTGAATATTATATATATTTAAATAGTTTTCTTTAACTTCTAGCACATTTGGTCTTAATGTATAGTCCTCATGCTGTGAACTCTACATGCAAAGTTTCATTTCAGCCTTGACTCACTAGTTCTAAAAAAAAAAAGAAAAACATGTACAATCATTCATTGTAATTGCAAAGGTAAATAATTTGAGTAAAATTATCTTATGTTTGTTATATCCTGAGCATTTTACAAGTATTACTGAATTTTATCTTCACATTTTCTAAAATACATCTAAAAATGATCATTGCCTTAAATATTAGCCATAATAATGTCAGGTAAACATTAATATTAGTATATACTTCAAGTCAATGTTACTAATACTGTAAAATTTTAAAATTGGCATAACTGGGTGGGACAGAAATATCAGTTTTTATGAATGTCTGTCGCTCAATCATGTTGATCTGAGTTCAGATTCCAGCATTTGATATTCCAAACGTTTGTTACGCCAACTCTGAGGAAACTAAGACCTTCTACCTGAGTACAAGTCCTAACACTCACTCGGACACACAAATACAATAAACAGACAAACACATACAAATATTAACCCTTTAAAACATCATAAAAGAGTTTTTTGCAAATAAGCATAACTAACATTGTAGAACAACAGTTTCAAATAATACTGAGGATCAACCTGAGACAAAATTCAAGGAAGAAACAAAAAAATGACAAAGATAATGCATAATATAAGAGGACATGAACTAGAGAGAACCAACCATCCTTGCGTTTATTTTTAGATGTAGAAACCAGTAAAGTTCTCACGTGTTTGCTACTGTTGCTGAAAAGAGTTAAAATAAATATAATATCAAGCATTTCTGGAGGTTCAATAGTTCCCAAAGGGCAAGTATTTAGGTGTGTGCCTATTGTACTTTCTGAAGAATGTGTGAGCTAACAGTTCTCTTCTGTATCTGAAAGTGCCATATAGGGCTAGGTCTTGAGAAAGTCACCCATCTTGCTTCCATAATCACTTCCCATCTTGATTCTGACCTTAACTCCACTCCTTCATAATAACACCCATCTTTTTTGCTTTTTTGAATTCAAAAAATTATACAATATATTCTGTTCACATATATTGCCTCCCTCAATTTCTCCAAAATTCTCCCCATTTCCCTGCTTGCTCAAATCCACGCTCTTTGCATTCTCTAAGACATATACTTAATGCCATGTTAAATTTAAGACACTCATTAAAAAGTTTATAGAGTTATTGTTTTTATCAGGTTCTGCTCTATAAATACTCACTTTTATTGATTAAAGCAAAATTCCACAAAAATGTTAAAATTAACATTTATCATAACACTGGACTGACTTAGATATGTCAGAATATTATCTCTTTCTCAAGATTCTGGATTTAATCAAATCTTCAAACTCTCTTTGAATTTATTAATATATTCAAAGTTTCTAAGATTTAACATGGATATCTTTTTTCCCTTAGTATTCCACCAACCAAACATGGATTTATACAACCAGAAAGTAAGCGTGTAATAAACTCATCAAGACTTTCTCTGACAACATGACATGAAAATACCCATAGATATGCAATGATTCAGGCATACCACACGTGGTCCGTCTCTTAAAAATAAACTACTTGTAAGGGCCAGGAGATCTAAGAATTCATTGTGAGATTAAGCCTCTTAAAACTGTCAAAAGTTGCACACAAAGTCTCACCAACATGACTTCCCAGTGAACAAGGTGACATCAGTAGACATGCCAAAGTGAACTTGGAAAAGTCCAAGAAGAGTCAGTCATATACAAAGTGCTAGGTAACTGAAAATTTGAGAGTAGAAGAGGTAGCATTACATAGAAAAGAGCTCACCAACTCATTTTCCGGTGCCAAATGGTCATCCCTGAAAACACTTAAACATATATATTGTGTGTGTGTGTGCGTGTATGTGTGTGTGTGTGTGTGTGTGTGTGCGCGCACGCGCATGTGTGTATGTGTGCAGCATTACTCAGACTGATCAGATTTATTTACAAATATGATATAAACATATATACACTCTAGGAATTTTGCATATAGTAATGTGCAAAACAACATTATTTGTTGTTACATATATTGAAAATATATACAACATGCATATGCAATAACAAATAATGAAGGTACTATGAACTCAAAGGAGAGCAGGGAGGTCTGTACTGGAGGGTGTGGATGGAGGAAAGGGAAGGAAGAAATACAATCATATTATGCACCCATTAAATAAATAAACTGCTGTAAATTACCTTATTTGAAAAATGAAGAAAATTGCTAATTCACATCTACTAGCATGTTTTAAATCACTTTGCCCATTGGGCATGGTTGAGTAGCATGTGTCCCATACCTCAGCCAACCTAACACGCCCACTTTCATCTCAGCTCCAGTCACGAGGGCACTGCCTAGAACACATCACATCCTTCTGCTCATACTTTGTTCTGACTTCCTTGTTTTGACAACTATTGAAAAACAAATAATTTCCATCTTTCTGTACCAAAAATTGCTAAATCTGGTTCAGACTTTCACATGGTTAGGACATTCTTCTAGAAACAATATTCTAAGCAAAAATTTAAAAACAACTGCGTTTTTTTTCTTCTTCCTGGTTTCTTAAGATATTATAATCACTAACTTCTTTATCAAGAAAACTAAGTGATAATATTCTGCATGCTCAATACCAGTGATGAATCATGAGTTTCACTGAGTTGTTTTCATTGTTAAAATTTTAAATCTAAAGTAGGGACAATGTGTATGCATTATACTTGTCCACATATTATCTTATCTTGCCATATTAGTCCTAGCAGACTGATTGCTTTAACAACCTCAATTCTTCTGGTCTTCACACAGTATACCTTTGCTTCTCATTCCTGTCATGGTCTATAGCACATTAACACTGTTAAAAATGGAATTATGATTGCAGATAGCTATAATAAGTAACATCAACTGGGTGGTTCAGATCTTGGAAATGTATTTACTCAACATCCTGGATGTCAGAAGTCCAAGATCAAGGGTCATCCTCACCCATTCCTGATGAGAAGTCTCTTCTTGGCTTACAAATGGCTCTGACTCAGTGTGACCTTTGTGATGGAGTAAGTTCCTTTTTTATTTCTCATAAGGTGAACAATGCTATCAAATTGGAGCCCAACCACAGACCTCACCTAACCTTAATCAGCTACTTAAAGCCTCCTCCCCAAATGTAATCACACTAAAGGCAAAGGTCTCAATGTATGAACTGTGGTCTGGTACTGTTCAGTTCAGAAGGATGAACTGTTCTCTGTAGCCTGCATCCTAGTGTCCTAGTGTGTAATCTGTCTCAGAATACCCAAATCATTTCCTGCACCTTCATTACCTCCTGTCAACTATAAAGATGAAGTGGTGTAGGTTGGTTAGAAAAATCTAGATCCTTCCTGAAAGGACTATCACTTCCACCTACATTTTAGAATTCAGTGTTAAGATGAAGTGCTGTAGGTTGGTTAGAAAAATCTAGATCCTTCCTGAAAGGACTATCACTTCTACCTACATTTTAGAATTCAGTGTTATGATCATAATTAATGTCAACAGAATGAAGATTCTAATGTAGAAATAAACTTCAGTGGATAAATAACAGAGAATATCGGTGTAAAAGTTGTTTACATCTCTATAACCAGTCCTGACTAAAGGCATACGTTAATAAATGTATTGTAAACATGATCAGAGATACAAAAAAGAAAAGAGTTGGGAAAATTGCCCAATATGAGAAAAGTAAAATCCACAAAATTTCTCTGTGCTACCAATGAAAAGGAACGGAACTAAGAGTAAAGTCCATTTGGGAATGAAAACCCAGGCTACTGAGAGCTGACTCTGTCAATGAACATGCTTACTAGTCAAATATGGAGACCTGAATTAGAATCCCCAGAACCTACATACTAAGTCAGCTGTGACTAGAGCTTAGCTGTGACATGTTGATGTGGTATACAGGAGAATATTTTGGGCTTGCTAGCCACCAGCTTGGTTACAGGTATAATGACCTTGTCTCAAAAGCCAAAGGTGAAGAACGGTAGACCCTTCAGTGCCTCCACATACACATACATCCACACACACCATACACTCAAAGAATGCAAAACTATCTTTAGGAGTGAACTTACTGAAGGAAATTAACTCCTAATTTAGTAAATTCAGAGGCATTGAAGACTCCTGGTTTAGAGGAGGAAAGGTCATACCTAATAGTTTAAGTCTTCAATATAAAGAATCCTCCAATAAAACTGACTTGCGAGGAAATGTGCATCAAGGAGGATCGAAGGGGTGAAAAGTGACAAACGTCTAAAGAATTTGCAGTAGAACAGTTACCTAACTGAAAAGTGGTGGATTGAAAGAAAGATAATTTCTTGGGATAGAAGAGACAGAAACCAACAATACTTGGGAATGTGAAGAAAATTTAGATCACTGAGGGTTAATTGAAACATTTCTTAATTCTCAGAAACTTGGCGAAGAATAAGGTGGTACAAAAATAAGATCTTTATCTGACAGTGACTATGATGATAACAAATCAGAAGAGCAAAGAAAGGCTGCTGGCAATGATACTTGGCCAGGGATAATGAAAGGGCCATTGCCAGAGACAGCAGGGAGCATTGCTATTTTCCAAAAGATGGAAAGATTCAGAGATAGACCAGTTGGCTCCATCAAAGAAGCAAATGGGAAGTGCCCTCAAAATATCTGTTTTAGGGGTTTTAATATTATTATCGTTGTTGCCTGAGATGTTTCTTGTTAGCTGTCCATGATATTCTGAATCTTACTGTGTAGCCATAGATAACTTCTAACTCAAAATGATCCTAATGCCTCCTGATTAGTAATGAGATATTTAAAAGATAAAAATCGGTAATTGTTTTATATATATGCATATATTATATTATATTTATATATGTATGTATATATGTATATTACACTGGATGGTATATGTGTTTGTGTGTATGTAAGCTCTGTGTCTTGGTTTTTGATTTAATAATATGAAATAATAAAAACTACTTTCTAATGAAATCAGGTTTCATATGTTGATTTTTAAAATAATATTGCAATAATTGTGGAGATTTTCATTGTTCTGATCAATAACTTGAGTTTCTTTGAGCAAATAAATGCCTTCTGTAGTATCCTTAAAATAAAAATAAAATATGTACCAGAAATGAATATTTGTAATAGGAACAAAAAACTACAAACACATAGGACTAAAGCTCTAAAGTATATAATGTGTATTATAAAAGTAACTGGCCTATGGTTGAAGGAAAAACATTTAGACAAAGATAAACAGCCCTAGTTTATGGTTCGGAAGGCAATATCACAAAATGGCAACATAGCCTGTGATGGAGAGTTTTAATTTAACTTGATGCATCTATAAATCACCTGGGAAATGAACATAACTGACGAATAGTCTAGAAAAGCCTGTCCTGTGGGCCTGTATATGGATTGTCTGGATTTCTTTAATTGATGCTGGAAAACATATCCTGAAAATGCCCACCATATGGGCTTGGCTGTAGAGAGTATGAGAGCACAGAATGCTGCTGAGCACTAAATGCTTGCACTTACTTCTGTTCTTGACTCTTGATGTGGTGTGATTACCTGCTTCAAGTTGCTGTAGCTATAATTCCTTTGCAATGATAGACTGAATTTGCAAGCTAAAATAAACTCTCCCCTATGTGAACTTTTGTTGGAGTGTTCTATCAAAGCAACAGAAATAAAATTAGAATATGCTCCAAACTGATCTTGAGAGTCAATACAATGTCTGTACAAAGCCAGACGTCTTCTTTGCAGAGAGCATCTGCTGAATGTGGTTGTTACTTATCTTTAATAGCAATGCATGAAAGTATCTTGAATTTGAGGCCAGCACAATCTACATAAAACTTACGGATTTGACTTGGTTACATAGTAAGAACTTATACCATGGATATTTCAATGGCAATATGAAAATTTATAAGGAAATTTAAAATAATATCTTTTAAAAGAACAAGGTTTCTAAAAATCTCACATCACAATCTAAAAATTTACTGCAGAGCTACGGAAATCTAGACTGGTCCTGGCAGAGGACAGACAAGACATTAGCAAAACCAGATTAAGCACCCAGATAGAAGCCTTTGCAGTTGAGTAAGCATATTTAAACCAGGATATAGACACATTTCAATGAAGGAAATACTAGTAATTTCAAACAATGCTTACAGGATAGGAAGATGTTAACATGCAAGAGGACCAGGAGAAACTCCATGTTCCTCATACAAACATTAACTCAAATCTAAAACTATGGCATCGACAGAAGAAAGAACACATACTTATCCCCGACCTTAAGGTAAAATCTTCTTGTATCTGACACCCACATAAGAAAAAAAGGAAAAAATTAATTTTAAAATTATTAAAATTGAAACTTTTTGGTGTCAATGAACACAATCAAGAAAATGCAAACAGGGATTGTAAACAGAGGTTAAGAGAGTATACTGCTCTTTCAGAGAACCCATGTTTGGTTCCCAGCATCCATGTGGTGACTTACAACCATTTGTACCTCCAGGTTCTCATGCCTTTCTCAGCTTCACAGACATCAGACAAAAGGGTGGTGCACAAACACACACACAGGCACACACCCAGACACATACAATACAAATAAACAAACCTTTTAAAAAAATGTAAACAAACGCTACCAGAGAGATAGAGTAACAACAAATCATACATGTTTTTTCAGAATGTGGAAACTCACCAGTGAATGTTTTGCAGTCAGAATTATGCTGATATCACTATATACAAGCATTACAAACTTATATTCAATAATTCTTAAGGATATAAATAAAAATATCCTCTTACTGGAGGTTAAAATTAATAGACTGGAAAATGACTTGCTAGTGGTTAAAATAGTACATCGTCAAAATGAGAGGCTCTAGGAGAATTTCAGGCAAATACTAGCAAGAACAGAGACGAAGTACAGCAAGAGCACAAATCTGGCAGAAGTTTAAAATACTTCTACATCTCTGGAAAGCAGTTTGGCAGTTCTTCAAAACGCAGAACTAACCATATGGTCTCTCAGTTCTAGTCACATAAGTAGATCCCCAAAGAAGTGAAAATGTATCTCCAAAGACACGTGACTTAAGGGACACAGCGGCACTGGCATTATTCCTCAGGTCCAACCATGAGGAGAGCACAGATGTTCACGAACTAGTGAATGGATAAATAAAACTGGATATACACATGTGACAAAACCGCACTTTGCAATACTAAAGACTGATGGACCAATTCATGCCACGATGTGGCTGAACCTGGAAAATGTTATGTAAAATGAAAGGGACCCCTCAGGAATTATGACCTATCCATGGATTCCATATACATATATAATACATAGATAAGGAATTCCACAGAGACAGGACCTGGATTAGTGGCTGCCTGTGATTCAGGGGATACAGTGAGGGAAGACTGGAGTATAACTAATAGCTAAAGGGCTTATTTGGGGGGAGATGAGGTTTTATACTTACAATTTATATACTAAAACACAAAAAAGAGATTGAGAGAGAATGGTCTGAAAAAAACTAGTCTTCCACTTGATAACAATGTG